TTGATGGTGCTCGAACTCCTGCCCTGTGGGAGTGGGACGCTTCTATCAGAGTATTTAAACAGTATAAAAGACTTTCATCTTCCTCATTTTTACTTTTAAAAAAAAAAAATGCACAGTTCTCTTTTAGAAGCTCAGAAACCTCAAATGACTTCAGAAACAAACAGGCAAAAAACAAGTGTGGAGGCAATGTTATGGGCTCTTGTGTCCCAAAGCAAATGGGCTCTTCTTGCATAGTTCACACCTTTTCTTCTGTGTTCTTAGTTAAAAAAAAAAAAAAAGAGAGAGAGAGAGAACACTCTCTCCTTGGCAATGTTATAATTCAGTGAATAAATTGAGGAATTAGGAGCAAGTAAAGCTGAGGTTGTTCGCTAAGTCCATCCAGTCTTTTGCAAATTATTTTTATTGATGAATATCTGCAGGAACACTGGGGATGCAGGAGGCTCTGGGGATGCAGGAGGCTCTGGGGATGCAGGAGGCTCTGGGGATGCTCCAGGGATGCAGGAGGCTCTGGGGATGCTCCAGGGATGCAGGAGGCTCTGGGGATGCAGGAGCAGGCAGGAGGGGGCGGGTCCCACAGGACCCTCCAGGCAGGAGCAGGGAATCTTCTCATGGATGCCTTCTCACAGCCTCCGGCAATCAATGGCTAAGGAAATTCCTGGATTTTAGAATCCCTGCATCCAAAACAACACACACCAGAACCCATCTGGACCTGCCCACCACACAACACTCTCCTCCTGTTTAAACTTCTGGCCTTTGCATCATCCCATGGGCGTTTTGTGGCTGCTTGCTCCAAGGGGTTTGGTGTTTGGGAGCAGCTGAACTCGAGCTTAGCTCCTGGAAAAGGCAAATCATGACAGGGAAAAGAAAGAGTTAGTGAGAATCTGACAAGAAGAGTAGGATAGTGTTCCTGCTTTGGGGTTTTTGTCCTACTGTTGTATTTCAGAGGAATATTCCATTCCTCTGGAAGATGCCCAGAGGTGGTGCTGTCTTTGAAAAGCTTCTGGCTCACTTCAGCCTGAGGCTTTTAACTTGCTTATCCCTGCTTATCTTGTCCTTTGATTCACAGTTTCCTGAAAGGAGTGGAGGCAGATAATTATTAACTTTCTTCTGTAACAGATCAGTGAACACAAGAAATAAGAGCATGACTTGGTTTCTCTGGTCTCACTCCTGAAATGAGGTGTCCTTGCCCTGCCGGTTGTGAGGAGGGGAAGGCAGGGAGCTGTTAACTGCCAATAGCCATTACATCACTTAGGTATGATTAACTTTTCTCAGAAATACCCAATTCTTCCCCCAGAAGCCTCTGTGCTGCTGGTGAAGAGGCACCAGAAACTGGTACATGTATGAAGATGCAGAGAGTAAGTTACTCCCTGCCTACACGTGTGCTGAGCAGGAACTTTTGCTTTGCAGTTCCAGGCGACCAAAAAACGTTCTTTCACCACAAGGGTTTGGCCAGGGCAGGTTTGCTCAGCTTTGCCAGTGGTCCCCAAAGCATTCCCAACGCTCCCTAAAGCCTTCCCAATGCTCCCTAAAGCCTTCCCAGCCTCTGCTTTGCTCTCATCCATCCCTGGGCAGTGGCTGCTCCCCCAGCGTGAGCCAGACCCATGTGGGCAGGAGCTGCCCTGGTCCTTTGTCCAGCCTGGTTTAACCACCCTCAGGGTCATGTCTCTGCTCCTCTCTCCTCCTCGGGGCAAATGTCCTGCTTCTAAATATTTCTCACTGTCAGAAGCTTTCCCAGGTGTACCTGGGGGGATTCACTGTCCCTGCAGCTGCTCATACCTTGCTTACAATTAGCTGCTGATTCTCAGGCAGATTCAGATAAAATGAGTGGGATTTACCTGTCCAAACTCACCCACCCTTCTGCCACAGCACAGCCCAGGTGCCCAGCCCAGGACACCTGAACCATGATTTAAAAACATCTGTTTCTTTCTCTTTTCTATTGAGGGAGCCTGAACAGCTCACCAGGTGTCGAGGGATGAATCCCACCCCTTGGGCTTAATCTAAGGAGGAAGATTGTCAAAACTGATGGGCTGCCATCCCCTGCCATCAACAGACCCCTTCCCTCCTTCATTCCCATGGAGCAATTCCCCTTTCCACCTGTCCCTGGGTCCTGCAGGACAGGGACAGCAGCAAACCAGCACCTCCCAGGCTGAGGGACGTGGGGGCTGACACGGGGCTTTATGGCCAGGCTGACTCATTTGCTGTGGTGGGGTTTTGGTATATTTTTATAAACAAGGTTTCTAGTGCAACTGGTTGTGGGGATTTTTGGGAGGGTTGTTTTTTTTTTCCCTTAATATTTTGAGGAACAAAACTTTTAAGAACTTTTAAGAAAATACCCAGAGCAGCCAACTGCCAGGGGGTGTGAAAAAAAGAAAGAAAAAGTAAGGAAATGTACCTAAACTGGCTGATAAACTGCAGAGCACAGCTCATGTCTTCTCATTTGCTTCTGCCCAGTGCCCCAGGCCCCAAGAGAACTGAGGGGAGACCAAGGTTCTTGTCCAGTCTCACTGAAACCAGTGGCACAGACGAGCTCAAACTGGTGTGTGAGGAGAGGGAGGCTGCAGGGCCTCTGGGCTTGAGCCTTTGCAAATGTGTAACCTGAGGTGGGGGCACAGCAAGAGGGGGAGAGACAGCACAGGCTTTCTTCATATTGAAAAGTCATTTGACATTTAAGACACTTGAAACAGCAACTGAGAGGGGGAGGGAAAACTGTGATGATCTTCAAAGGAATGATATGGGCTGAACTGTTCCAGGAGTTGATTGAGTCACGTTTTCAGTCCTGTTTTGTTAGACCTTCACTAGGTGATAAGAAAACAGAACACAACAGAGCAGAGCAGCCCTCACCAGGGCTGGGCACTGCCACTGCTCATCTTCAGCCAGAGCTGGGCCTGGGGTTTGCAAACCAAGCCATGGAGAGCAGCTGGTGGAGTTGGGTTTAGGTCGGTGCTTTCCTCCCTGGAATGAGGGTGGTTCTCCTCTGCCTCCTTTTGCCCAGCTGCCAGGGAGGTAATTGCATTTGAGGCCTCAGTCCCTGCCTGGTGGGGCTGAGCTGGGCCAGCACAGGTTATCACCCACCCACAGGGACTTATCATCCATCCACAGGCAGCCACAGCATTAACCCCAGGAGTCCCCAAGGAACCAGGCTATTCAGGAGGAGCAATGGAAGAATAAAGACTCCCATGGCTGGGTTCTTGCAGAGATCAGGGACCCTGTGCCCGTCTCCCAGCAGGGAGGGCAGTTACAGTCTGGGCTTGCTTAAATCACTCAGCAGGTCCCAGTCCTTGGGCCTTTCCATGTATTTCTTGTGTAACGTGCAAAGTCAGAGCAGCAGCTCGAAGGGGAGACAACCACACCAGACACCAAACCTCCTCCTGCAGTCTGGGACTGCTCAGAGTGAAAGCCACTGGCCACAGAGAACAGACAGACAGAAGCTCCCCTGTCTCCCCTCAGGCCCAGCCTTGCTCTCCCCCCCTCCTGACTAACCAGCACTGAGGGTGCCCTGGTGAACCCCTCAGGTCCCCCCAGGAGGATCTGGAGAAGGTGAGGGGTGGGTGAACACAACCAAACACACAGCTGTATGAGTATAAAAGATGAAAATGGGGGGGGGAGGTGAGACACAACTGCTGGGGGATGTTGGGGAAGGCTGTTACACAGGCCTGGGGATGAGCAGCGTGAGTTTTCACACGCGGCTGAGGATCTCTCACCCACACATCACCACTGTGTATAAACAAACACCCCCAGTCCAGATACTGAGTAACTCTGTCTGTTATTAGTGATGCTGTTGCGTGTGATTTGATGTGGGGACATGGTGCAATGGGTGCAGTTACCTGAATAGTGCAAGTTCAACATCCTGGTGCTGGTGCAACACCTGAGCAGGAGCCTGACAGAGCAGGGAAGGGCACAAAGGAGCTCTGAAACAGCAGAGCTGTGTCCAGCAGACACTAAGCATGAGAGGGGCACAGGAATCAGTCACATTCATGAACAACCAGGCCATGAGGAGCAAGGCAGAGTTCCTAGAAGAAACAGGCAACTGAAAGCCAAAGGCATCTCCTCAGTGCTCCCCGAGCAGATATCCCACAGGGAGCGAGGGGCTGCAGTGTGGGGAGCAGCCAGGGCCTGGAGGGACATCCTAGGGCAGCAGCACAACACTCCACAGCCAATGCCACTGTCCCTCAGGGAGGGACTCTTCTCCTGCTCACACCAGAGCAGAGCCCGGGGATTTCTCACTGTCACCTTCCAGCTGAGCAAACTTTCAGTGGCAACTGCTCGAGGTAGATGCTGGTACGAGCTTTAAATAGAGAGAGGAGAAAGCTGTCCTGGTCCCTGCCCTGCAAACCACAGCAGGAAGAGCTGCTCGGCTGAGATTGCTCTCACCACCATCACACCTGGCTCTGAATTCAGTTCTTCCTCCCAGCTGTCAGCATCCTGTATCTCCACATCCCAAGGCAGCAGAAGCCAACTCTGACATTTAGAGAGGAGCAATAAATTTCAGGCAGTTCCAGTTCTGTCTGTCCCAGGGGAGAGCTGGCACTGCAGGGGCACAGCTGGGCTGGATTTATGGCCCTCACAGCTGGCTGTTTTCACGTGGGTTAAGCTGCACAGGCACAGGGGACAGGCTGCTGGCTGCCTGCAGGGAAGAGTAATGGATGAAATCAAAATGGGTGAGCTGTGCACAAGTGTCCTCAGCTCTCAGCCTTCACTGGACAGGGCTCTGAGCAACCTGGTCTGGTTGAAGACGTCCCTGCTCACTGCAGGGGGTTGGACTGAATGACCTTTAAAGGTCTCTTCCAACCCAAACTGTTCTCTGGTTCTATGAAGCTGGAGGGAGCAGACTCCTGAGACTTCATCCATGCTCTGACAGTAACTTGTGTGACCCTGGGTTATCCTGTTGGCATCTTCACCAGGTTTTGATTTCCCCAGCTGTGGGGGCTCTGTTTTTTCAAACTGAGAACCACGTGGAAAGCCCCACTGAGCCACTAACACAGCATCTCCTTCTTTCCTAGGCAAGAAGCTAAAGGTCACCCTTGTTTTCAGCCTGCCGCTCGTTTTTCAGGTAAGATGTTTTTAACAACATTTTGAAATCCAGCTGCTCTGTGTTGTGGCTAAAGAGAGATCTCAAAAACTCAGAGCAGCCACCCACAGCCCCAGAGGTGTGTGGGGACAGGGCTGCTCACCCCAGGATCCAGCCGTGGGAGGTGGGAGGTGAGAGCAGAGCCCTGCTAGAGAAACACAAACAGGAGGAACAAAACCAGGGAGGGAAAAACAGTGGCACAAACGCTGTGATTTTCAAATGGCTGTGGCTGTGAGAGTCCCCTGTCAGCCCCAAAATGAGCATTTCCAGGACAGACAGGAGCACCCTATGCTGACAGTGGGGAGCAGTTGGTTCCCTGCTCCCTGCAAATCCCTGGTCAAGGTGCCAGGCTCCGACCAAGGGCTGTGCTGGAGAGGGATGTGCCCAAGGAGGAAGAGCCCAGCATCTTCCTCTGCCCGTTCCTGCTCAGAGTCACCCTGACCAGGAAGGAGAACCCCAAGCACGGAGCTGTGCCATGATCTGCTCCCAGACTGGGGCCTGGCCCTGGTGCCTGCAGTCCCAGGCAGCACCAGCCCCCCCAGGCCCTTGGGGCTCCCTGAGGCTCAGGCAGAGCCGAGCAGCCCGCTCTTTTCCCTTTCACTGCTGGGAGGATGTGGTGAAACCAAACCTGCCGAGATGGCGAGCACAGAGATGCTCGTGATAACGGGGGGGGTATCCAGGGGAAACCTTTCATCTCTGTGCGATGGGGAGAAGGTTCTGGAGACTAATAAGTCACAGAAAGCAGGGCACAGATACCACAGGCTCCCTCTGCCCCACAGCTTATGGCAGTGTAGGAAGATGAAACAAGAATAATCAGAACTGAAATCAGGGGCCTGAAGGAGACACCGGTACCACGTCTGCGCCGGCACGGAGCAGCTTCCTGCTGCACTCACTGCATTTCCTCACCGTCCCACTGCCACCTCTGTTCATTTTTGATTTAGCTGAAGGATGTTTTATTTCTCACATTTGACCCACCAGCCAGCTGTGTACACACAGCTGGAGGTGGGCCCTGGAACACTCTGGAAAGCTGCCACACGTCTGAGGGTTTTGCAGGTGTTACTTTGGCTGAGCACTGAACATTTCTGGTGGAATTCCCACTTGGAGCCCCCCAAAAAGCCCCAAACCCCCCCACACACTTGTGGGAAATGTTTTCAGCCACAAGGCCGTGCCAGCTCTGTTTGTGATGCTGGCACGAGCCAGCTCTTGGGAACTCCCTGAGACTCCTCTCCAGGCTCCCTTCCCGGCACGGCCACGCAGGCGCGCGGTCCCATCCCAACACTCGTCTCTTCTCTCCTGTTGTAGTTCTGTGCCGGGGACAACGTCACCGATGACTACGACTCCAACAGCACCATCGACTACAACCTGTTCGAGACCCTGTGTGAGAAGAAGGAGGTGCGTTCGTTCCGCGCCGCCTTCCTCCCGGCCATGTACAGCCTCATCTGCTTCACGGGGCTGCTGGGCAACGGGCTGGTGATGCTCACCTACATCTACTTCAAGAGGCTGAAGACCATGACGGACATCTACCTGCTGAACCTGGCTCTGGCAGACATCCTCTTCCTGCTGACCCTGCCCTTCTGGGCCGCGAGCGCGGCCACGCACTGGCTCTTCGGGAAGTTTGCCTGCAAGGCCGTTTACTGCATCTGCAAAATGAGTTTCTTCAGCGGGATGCTGCTCCTGCTGTCCATCAGCATCGACAGGTACTTCGCCATCGTCCAGGCGGCCTCGGCCCACCGCCTGCGGCCCCGCATGATATTCATCAGCAAGGTGACGTGCGTCATCATCTGGCTCCTGGCCTTCATCCTCTCCATCCCCGAGCTGGTTCACAGCGGTGTGAACAACCTGGAGACCCATCCTCGTTGTTCCATCATCGCTCATGACCTGCAGACCTTCAACACTGGCATCAAAGTGTCGCAAATGGTGTTCGGCTTCTTAATTCCCCTGCTGGTCATGTCTTTCTGCTACCTCGTCATCATCAGAACGTTACTCCAGGCCCGCAACTTTGAGAAGAACAAAGCCATCAAGGTCATCATCGCCGTGGTCATTGTCTTCGTCGTCTTCCAGCTGCCCTACAATGGTGTCATGCTGGCCAAGACCATCTCGGCCTTCAACCAGACCAGCTCCTGTGAGGAGAGCAAGAAGCTGGACGTGGCGGACGACGTGACCTACACCCTGGCGTGCTTCCGATGCTGCCTCAACCCCTTCCTCTACGCCTTCATCGGCGTCAAATTCCGCACCGACCTCTTCAAGCTGCTGAAGGAGCTGGGCTGCCTGAGCCAGGAGCGCCTCTGGCAGCTCACCAGCTGCCGTGAGAGCAAGAGGTTCTCCTTCGCCATGGAGACAGAGACAACCACCACCTTCTCCCCGTGAGCCGAGCCCCAGGCGCGCTGGGGCCGAGCTGGAATGGTTCTGAACACTTCCTCTATTCTGAACTCCCGGCAGAGCAAAGCCTGCCAAACTGCAGGGAAGGCAAGAGGAAAACCCAGGAGTCTCCCCCTGGGGAGAAAATCCACTAGAATTGTCACTAAGAGCAAAGCAAGGGAGAGGTGGTGAGTGTACAATTTCTCCTGCCATTTCACCTTTAGTTTAGTCTTTCCCAGTCAAAATCAGAAATGCCCAAAATAGAACATTTTCCCTAAGAGCAACAAATACCCAGAGAAACAGACACTGGTGCAGCAGAAATGTTTGGTTTGGAGCTGAGCTTCCAGGAGCATCACCCTTGCTTTGGATGTTACTTTTAACAAGACAACCTGCTGCTCTGCAGCCCTACAGAAATGCCCCTTGCACCGAGTCAGTCCAAGACAAACCAGCACCCACAGCCTTTGCCTCACCCTCGATCCAACACACAACACCAGCTGTGGAGCACCCGAGCACATGGCTCTACTCTGCCTTCCCCCATCAGAAGCCAGAAATGTCCATAACTAATAACAAATCCATACAAATTATAGCCACAATTTCAATTCCTTTGTACAACACTGTGGCCACTCGTAGGTTTGTCGGGAAAAGCACAAATTCCACTTCACTTCTGCCTGTATCCTGTTTCTGTGCTATCACCTGCTGGCTTCAAGAGACAAACATGAGGGTGGGTTTTCTCCTTCCCCTCCCAACCAATGTGTCCTTCTAGCAGGACTCCAGCTGCCTTTGAGGTCAGATCTGTGTTTCACTCATAAGCTACTGGGACGTGTTTTCCCTCGGTGCTGTCGGCACCAACTAAGACGCCGCTCGCCGGGGTTTGATCTAAACACAAAGGACAGTCATGTGTGGAAAATCCCTGCCAGGGCCACGGCAGCTGAACAGCAGATTGCCATGGAAAGTCTGTCATGGAAAGTCAGACCTTGGAAGAGGCCGGGCTGTAATTCCAGTTGGCGCTTTCACGGGAAGAGCGAAGATTCCTGCTGACAGATGACCACCCTGGGAAGCGCCGCCGTGGGACAGCTGCACGTCAGGGGGAGCTGCTGCAGGGCCTGTGCAGCTGTTCCTGCCCTTGTCCCGGGGGCTCTGATCCCACAGCTCTCCCACAGCCACTGGAGAGAGCTCTCAGCCAGGAGCCTCTCCCAGGGCTGGCAGGGGAAGCCTGTCCACGTTCCCCTGGACACACAGAGCCTTGTGCAGCAAAACACTCACTAAACAGACATTCATCCTCTTTTTCAACACACAGATCCATCGGCAGTGACACAGGGAACTCCGTGGATTGCAGGTTGGAAAGCATTGCCTTAGGGGCACGGGGACTAAAATCAGCCTTACAGACCTGCCTGCCACCATAACTAAATCAATTCTTCACAAATCACTTGGATCTGGGGTATGGCATTTTGCCAGGGGCTGGGATTTGGGAAGAAAGGATGTTCTGCTCCCTGTTACCTGTCTGTGCTGAACTGCTGAACTCCTTTTCTTTTACAATGCTCAGGTGACTGCACAGAAGTGCTGCTTCTCTGTCACATGGAGCAGGGGGTGACAGCTGACACTGAACAGTCATTTGTCCTTGGTTTGTTCCTTGTCCTCACTCGAGCAAGACACAGCTCCTGAGAGCTTGGCCAGAGCAAGGGACACGCCCAGCACAGGGGCTTTGCAGTTTTCCTCATCAGTAACAATAAATTCTTAACGAATATTCAATATATAAAGCTGCTTTACACAGACAAAGCTCAATCTGTTCATGAATGTACCCTGAGAACACACTGCTGCCACAGAACCTTTCCTGCAGAATCCATTCACCCTGTTCCAGCGAGGAAACTGCTCCACCAGCACACGGAGCTGGACTTGTCTCCTGTTGACAAAAGCCATTCCCCTCCTGCAAATGGAGAGGTCTCCAGATCTCTATGGGCCACAGGACAACACGCAGCTGCTTCCATAAAAGAGATCCAAGGGCATCATGTGGGACAGCTGGTGCCTCAATGAGGCAGTGGCAATGCCAGTGAGCAGCTTTCCTTGTTTAAATTTAACGGACAGAACAAATTTGCATCTGATTTAGGTGAGTCATGTTAACATCGGCCTAAGATCCCAACTCGAGGCTCCCCACTGATGTCTGAAAACTGACTGTATTTTGCTATTTGTGAAGAAATAAATTATAATGATTTAAATAAAATATCTTTAGTTTTCCATTGCATTTTCTCCATCATTCTACAGTCCCTGTCACCTCTTTTTTGTCCTGTCAGGAGCTGTTTGATCAGCTCAGCCTTGTACCGGTGCTGCCCTGCAGGAAAGGAAGCATGTAAAATAAACTAAATAGAAATAAGTTGGTTTACTCCATCTGCTGATGGATTATACTGGAAACAAGTCACCAGCAGGTTAAGGAGTCTTTATTTTAACTATTAACCCACCTGCCTTAACGCTGCTCCACAGCTGGATATACATGATGGCTGCTCACCAATGATTAAGTGAAAAGCCTTTGTGCTGTAGCATTTTATTGTTCACTTTTAAATTAAAATTCAGCAGTAAAACACAGTGTTACTGTGGGAATTGCCACAGGGAGAGGCAGCGACCACAGCTCTGGGGGGATGCAACCCCCCACAGCCAGAGTGAGAGTAGGAACTGCGACTAAAACAGGCCAGCGTGGCTTCATCAACGTGCACACAACGTTCCTTCCCGATCCACTCGTGCCTCAAGGCACTCAGGGATGACCCACATCCTTTACAGAAAGTGTCTTGTGAATGGCAACCACAGAGTCGAAGAGGAAGGGCCTCGGAGAACAGGAGCAGACACGAATCCTGACAGGTGAGTGCCAGAGCTGAGGCCCATTTCTGCTTTCACTGAGCGACAACGACTCACGGTTTCTCCCAAAAGAGAAACCACGAGGTGAGTTTCAGCATCTGACCCAGAGGTTCAAGAAGAAAAGGGCCGCAGGTTTGCCATAAACTACATAAAAGTAGGAGAGGCAGCAGCCACCCAGTCAGTTGTGTGGAGTCTGGGTGGTTCCTGCAGTCCCTTTTCCATGTTATTGGGGGAAATCTTCATCACTTGGACTCCTCATTGCTCTGGGTAAGCATTGCTGCTGGACATTTCTCCTTCCCTGACAGTTCCTTATCTGTGCACGTGGATGTTTTTAAGTTATGGCTTGAAAGCCCTTAGTGCCAAATGGATCTGGGCTGGGTGGGAGGTAAACTGGAACGAGGAGGAGGTGAACTGGAACTGGGGGAGTTGGCAGTTGCTCCCACCCATCCCAGAGCAGGCACTGGTGTGTCCCCCTCCCTCCTTGTGCTGTCCCCAGGTGCTGCTCCCCATCATTTACTGCTGAATGACCTGATTGATGGGAAAGGGAAGGGGAAAGTTCTCCAGGCAGGGCTGTGGTTTCTGATGTGCCTCCTGGGCAGCTGCGGGAGGGAAGTCCTTGTCACCCTAAGAAAGAATGAGCTGGAGATGAGAGAGGCAAACAAACCCTAAAAATACTGCCCGTGGGTGATGAGGAAGGGTGGTGGCAGGGCTGCAGCATCAGAATAGCTGAGAGGGGGCCATGGCTTCCTCCCACTGCTTCTTTTACAGGGAAAAATAACCCCCACTCCTGTTCTGGGGTGGAGGAGTCACACCTCAGGGGAGAACTTCTTGTACAGCTGCCCTCCTCCCCAGCTTGCAGAGCTGCCTCCTCCAGAGGGGACAGGGGTGGGGGGGTTCTGTCCATCCCAGTGTCACTGTAAAATGGATCTGGAGAAAGTGGAGGCAGCTGAGATCTCACCTGCCCCTTGCTTGTGTCATCATAAGCAGCTTCATGAGCTCAAAGCAAGTAAATCAAAGGGTCTGGCCAGGACTTCTTATGGATTAGAAGGTGGCAGGGTCAGCTCAGAGCCAGCCGTTGGCAGGAACACACAGTCAGATTATGAGGAAAAATAACTAGAAATAACAGCATCGTGCTGCATTTAATGACAGCAGCACAATCCACTCCTAGTCCACCTTACAGCCCGTCCTGCTCCTTCCCCAAGCACTAAAACAAGGTAAAACGTCCCTTTGCAGAGCACTGACCTGGCTCTGTGCTCACACCACGCGTGGGAGCCCTCCTGGCCTCTCGCAAAAGGAAACACGATTTCACGTGCTCGAGTTTGGTGGAAATCGCCACTTTCCCAGCCCAGCTCTGGCAGCCGCCGACCTGCCTCCACCCAGAGCCACTCCTCACGTCCACTGAGACCCCGGCTCTGCACGGCTGAGTGTTACCCAGGCACGGGAGTCGAATCTCGGCATTAAACCACCACCTGTCGCTGCCACAGCTTGTTACAAAAACCTCGTTCAGGTCTGAGCAGGTAGGGAGCCTTTGGGCTCACCTGCTCCACGTGCAGGACGGCTGCAGAGCCACCCCAGGCACGAGCTCTGTCACTGCTGAGCCCGTGCAGCTCCTCCGTGTGCGCGCAGGAACCGAAACTTCCCTTCCTGCTGCTTTGTTTTTAATTCAATTGTCTAAAATAAGATAACGAGCAGAGAGTTACTTTCCTTTCTGTGCTGCTGAGAGCCCGGCACAAAACTAATTGTTGGGTGATTTGGGGCTTTATTGGGAAACCCGTGTGAATGCAGGACAATTCTGCAGGAGAATCATCCTGCAGGGCAGGAACAGGCCAAGTGTTCCCAGTGGAATGGACAAAAAGGCATTCCAGGATTTGGAGTCTGCCCGTGGTGCCCTGTACCAAAATCAGACCTTCTCCCACCGATTTCCAGCTCCTGCATCCTGCAGGTTTTAGCCACAGCTTTGTGCCTTCTCCTGAGAGAATCTCCCATCTCCATGTGAAGCTCAGTGAGCAGACACACGTGTCCAGGTGTGCACACGTGTCCCAGCAGCCCTGGTTTCATACTCTGGGGCTACAACAGCAGAATCCAACCCTGCCGGGGCAAAACCCAACCGCCAGAGCTGCACAAATAGAAACTCATGTTTTCAGGGGAGAGTTGACTGATTCCCTGGGAGATAACATGTTTTTTTCAAAGTTTTGGCCACACCGAGCAGTG